GTTTGACTTTAGGGCTGTGTGCCATTCTAATCTATTTAAATAGCAATAATTAACCAGGAAGATGAATACAAAAATGTGATGAAAGAAAAAACAGAGGGTCAAAGCCTCTCTGTATATATATTTGATCAAACCAAATTCAATCATTTAAATTCTTGGGATTAGATTTAAATGGCATGTTCAAAGTTTGGTTGTTGATCTGTTTTGACATTTAATACCAGTTCCTTACTTCCACCGTTTAGCATGACCAAACAGTGATTAGCGACTTATTAAGAAATAAAGATACCTGAGAACATAAACACAACCACCAAGTTATAAAAGTTATCTTGTCAATGAGGAAGTCCATCAAACTTTGTTTTGCGACAAACAATGAATATGAATTTCAAACATTAGAAAAAGCATTTACTTTGCACATTGCATAATGGCAAAAAAGTTAGTACACTATTACAAATTTGTTTTTAAGATGCAGAAAAAAATTAAAACACAGTGAAAGCTAATTAGTTCCCTTTTTGTACTTTCACAGCTTTGCCAAAGTTATATGTGAATATATATATATATATCTAAAGTGATATTTCAGGGCACTCACTTGTCTAGGACTGAGAATGTAGACTTAATTTGATCATGACCAAAAACAAGGATGTTTGTTAGATAGGTATGTTTTGGAATGTCAAGTCAATTTTATTAGTGTGGCAAAGTGGAGAAAAAGTAGAGTGTCATCAGCAAATAACTCCCGAGCTACAGCACATATAATCAACAAAGCTGAGGAACCAAAGCATGTGTAATCACTGCACATTTCCTCACATTTGACTATGTACAAATGATTTCTGTCATTCTCAGATTCTGTCAATCATAGACTGACAGAAATCCAGTTGTTTCGTATATCAATAAAAGTGTGTCTTTTAACAGTCAGTTTTAAAAGTTGGCAATGAATGTTTATTTACTAATATTTTCATCAGATATTTCCTGATCTTGGGGTGCCCTGGTAGCTCATCTGGTAGAGCAGGCGCTACAGCTTAGCTGTACAAAGGCTTGTACTTACTGCAGTGGCCTAGGTTCGATTCCAACCCATGGCCATTTGCTGCATGTTATGCCCTCTCTCTCCCTTTTTTTCTGTCATTCTTCAGCTGCTCCTATAAAGGTAATAAAACTTAACCTAAAATCTAACATCAGACTATATTTTATCCAAAACTGATAAAAAAAAAATGTTGTATTGGCATTGGCACAAACCTCAGGTGTTGTATTAGCACCAATATTTAAAAGATTTCAAAATGTAGGTATCAAACCATTAGTTTTAGAATTAATCCAAAACATCCGTCAAATTGTGTCAAGAAGTCTGGCTGCAGCTGACGAACCACACTACAGTTCACTTCTAGGTCAGTAAAAAAAAAAAGAAGAAGAAAAAATGCCATCAGTAGAAAACTGCAGGTCTTTCAGTTTTAAACTAATTACCTGACAGCGTGCCAGCCTGACACTCTGTCCACTTTCTGTCTGAGACTCACACATCAGTACCAACCAGTGAATTTCATGCTTCAGTAATTGTTTTACATTTAAAGGGCATTTGCTGACATATTTTCTGCCAGGCCTGTAATATTTAATCACAAGTACAGTCTCTGTGGTAAACTGTCAAATTTAATTTCGTCACCCTTTCACACACATCACAACCTCCATAGACAATTTCCTTTTTCATCTGTGTTTCTGCAACATGCTGATGTTCTTGTTTTATTTTCATTATGCGTAATGTTCTTGTGACTTTCCACATGATGGTTCTCATAATGTAAAAATATATAAGCAGTGTTCATTTTGTTTGTAATCCACAGCATATGACAACAACATATGACCTTTGGAAAACAAAATCTAAATACCTGTGTATATACACAATGTATATGTTTACTTCCCTTAACCAGATAAAAATTAAACTCTGCAATAGCTATGGAAACACGTACTGACCTGCTATGAACTTAACACTTGTGAGAAAATTGGAAATACAAAACAAATGAAAAAAACTATTAGCATAATGGTTGCATAATCTTCAGAATGACCTAAAGATATAATTAAAAATGTTTGCAATTTCTTTAGAAACTGTGCAAAACTACAGAGTTTATATACATTTTGCTGCTTGGGAATTGGCATCAAATATTTCAGATTTACTAGGAATCTCATGATACTGATAACCTTTTCTCGAGCAAATTATTGCAATGTGTAAAAAGTCAAAAATTGGAATCAAAATGTGGGTACCTTCTTGTATCTTCAGACTTGTCTATACTTCTATTTCTATCTGCACCACAGGCAGATGTTTGAAAAAGATGCATAAAACTGATTGTGAAACATCATGTAGCCTATGTATTTCAAAATCCGATTCCTTTGAACATGATATAGTTGAAATAAGTATAATGTCACTTTCCAGTGCCTTAAAAAGTCCCTCAGTGAAAACATTCCAAGTATTAGTTGTAATCTAAAAACAAATGACAACTTCACACAATCCACAACTTAATGCCATTGAAAATTTATTGTGATATCTGATAGTTTACATTAGAGTGAAAACAGACATGTGACATGGCTTTACTAAGACAGAATGCAAAGCAATGTAGTCAAATAAAAAGCATATATTTTTGTTTTTAAATTTAGGAAAAAATAATAAAACAGGCACGACATACAGCCATTATAAATACAACATGCTTTAGACCTTAAACTGTAGTTTAACAGTCCTAAGAAAAGAACTTGTACAGTCTTTTCCCCCTGTATACCCATCTTGCCTTTGATCAACATCCTTTCAGGTATGTTTTAGACAGTAACAGAGCTCGAAAAGGCGGTAGCCAGTGTCACAATAAAACAAAATAACAATAAAAGTAAACAGATTGCAGCAGCAAATATCTACATTTTTCATCCAGGCTGCTTTGACGCTGTTAAGTTCAGAGAATCAAAACATTCTACAGAAAGACCATGTCATAAGTGACAGGATTTCTCCTATTTAATTTTGGTATAGCAGTTGAATCTCCAGGAGACACTCGAAAGTGATCCCTCCTGGCGCCCTTCCTGCCCACTGACACATGACACTGATGCATTCGATAGAACCTGGTTCTTATTTGGTACACACCGGTGGTGACACTGGCAACTGCTTTTTGTTGGTTCAACTTGGGCTGATCAAAGATTATAGAGGCTCTGCAGTTGGGTCACAAATCTCCAAGCTGGCGCCATCTTGAAGGTCCTTTGGAGAAACTGGCTGTGGGCATGTAATAGTTAAGAGGAAAGTTGGACTACTGTGGGTCCCATACCCCCCCCCCCCCCCCCCCCAGTTAACAATTTCAGCAGGTATGGACGCCTCTGATGAGTTTTTTTTAATTTAGCTACCAGTTGGCCGTTCTCTTTGCTCTTTGAGTTTGCAAAAAGTTCACCTAGTTAAATTTAACAGACGGCTGGGTTTTGAGATTTTCAGCCAGATATGTTCATCATATCAGATAGTGAAGGCTGGCTGACCAAATAAAAGCCCAATTCAGGAGGTGCAACCTTCAAAGGAAGCAGCCCTTGAAAGTGTGTCCTTGGCAGGAACTAAGAGCCTGTGTGCGCTCTCCAAACGAGACATAAAACCAATGGTGCATTCAGGCGCTCCTTGACTACTCCTAAAGTCAATTGAAAATAAACAAAATAATCACACCACAAGGTCCATTTGGTAGCTGTTCTGGAGCTTTCAGTTGTATCACACGATCTTCCTCAGTAGACAGTTACCCATTTGTCATAGAGTTATAGATGTTTACATTTCCATTCCTGTTGTAAGTGCTTATAGAAAAAGGAAATTTAAACATCTACAGTTCCATTACTGGGAGGATCATATGATATGACAAAGTAGTTTTCAAGTTTATCACCAGGAAATGGCTGACAAAGTGGTGAATACCAAGTAGTAAACTCAGGCAAGTTTGTGATACCAGAGTTCATGAAATGTAGCTTACCAGTAATTTACCAACACTGATGACCACAGGAACACAAATATCGATGAGGTCACATTTCCGACTTTACGAATTGACAAAGACTACCTGAATGCACCATTAACATAATGCCAGGCTGGAAAAAACCTTGTTTCAATGCCATCTCTGGTTTCAAGTCAATTGCACCTTGGCTGTGATGTCATGGTGTACTGACACACCCTGGAGTACACTTCTACATCACTGTAGCCAGGTGAGAAGTTAAACAGCAAAAACAAGACTTTTAGCTGCTGCTGACATGCTCTTTAAACCAAGAGTGTGCAGTGGATTCTGGGCCCCCGAGTGCTGCAAATTCAAGCAAAAGAAGGCTGCATTTGAAGGAGTCTTTAAATTAGGACAAGCCTGGTTTTACCTTTTAGGAGAATGCAGCCCCAGATGTGCAATGTAGAGGCTAAGCTCAGGTGGCTAACAAGCTAATATTATTAAAACAATAAATCAAATAGATCAGGGAAGTAACAGTTGATTTTAGGTCAAAGCCAGCACAAAAATGAATAAGAAATACAATCAGATTTTCACAGCCCAGCTAAGGACCTCCAATATGGCTGCCATAGGGTTGGCATCGCGGTACATCGCCTGAAAGCCCTCTATACAGGAGACACTGACTGTGGTGGCGAAAGGGTCTTGGTAAAGGCTCTCCCTGCGACATGGTGGGAGATTCCAGCTCACCCTTAACGTCTACATGGCTCAGCAGAGACCTAAACACCAGCCCTCTAAAGGGCTCTCACCACACAAGCTAAATAAACAAGCTAACAGAAAAAACAAAACAAACAAACAAACAATTGGGGTAAATCACTTCCAAGCAAACTAACCTGGCTCTCAACCTCACAGATCATTGGAAGAGACAGTGAAACCAAAGAGCTGCAGAAGAACAAAACAACAGGACAAATAAAAACACTTCCAAACCAAAAAGAGGAAAAAAAAGAGAAATAAAACTGTCTGAGGAAAAGAAACTAAACATTCACTTTCGTGTGCAGGCATGCATGTGGGCTAATACACATGCAT